CCATCTCAATTGATTTTTGTCATTTGTTTCGAAATGAGAGAGAGAGAGAGATTTGCCTGGATCGATTCTCTTTTTATTCAATTCATTTTTTTATCCAAGAATGGGAAAACTAATAACAATGATCATCTTGATTTCATCAGTGAAAATGAATGAATTAAATGTCGATATCACTTATATTCAGATATGCTTGAGTAATTTCAAAGAAATAAAACAAAAAACGAAAAAATAACAATATCGATTTAGACATACTTAATTAGAATCAATAAACAAAAAGCATGGAGGAAAAAATTTTCCCCAGAATTAATATCGACCAACAACAAAAATTTTCAATGAAATCACAGATTATAACAACAATGACGACAATTGACAATTTTAATGAATAATTATTGCACACACACACACACAGAGAGAGAGAACATTCTGTCGAACTATAATATTTCACCACTCACCCAATATATAGATAGCCTTAAAGCATTAATTTATTGCATCCACTTTTACTAATCAAACTATCGATTTTTTGTTTTTCTTTCTTTACTGCTATTTTTCTGATTCACACAATGAAACATTTATATAGTGTGTGTGGATGGATGGATATGAAAGAATTGTCAGTGCTAGTATTTATCAAGGGCAATCTCGGTAGGTGGTGAGGTTGTGTGTTTCAGGGCAAATTCCTGTCAAATTATCAATTAATCATTCAATAACATCGATGATGATGATGATGATGATGATGGGATTCGTAGATTTTTTTCTTTTTGGTTGCTGTCTTAATTTGATAGGATTTTTTCGTTATGGTTGTTCTTGTTATTGAAATGTTTCGAAATTTTCTGTCATCATTCCATTCCATTTCATTTCATTGAAAATATTCATTGGTTACCCCGATTTTAACGCTTGTATCCCTTCACATGGATACATAAATACATAAATAACCGTATCTAGCCCGCATTTCTCAAATCGTTCATTTCTGTTCCAAAAAGATCCACATCTCTCTGCTAAAAACTAATTTGATGGCTGCAAAAAATGGTGACGATGATTGCATTTCCCATTTGGGAATCCATACAAATGTGTTTGTTTGTTTGTCTATGGAAAAGGTATTAAAATTGAGAGAAAAAGAAAAGATAATAATTTAATCATCAAAATCATCTTCATTCTGATTTTTTCCAAAACTTTTTTCCGCATGTATGTTTCCATGGTTTTTGTTCCATTTTCGTTTTCCGATCTATATTGGGATTATTATTTCATCATCAATCAATCAATCAATTGATATTTAAATCATTCGATATTTTTTCTTTGCTTATTAGGAATTTTTATTTTTCAAATTCTCATGAGAAAATATGATGTGTGATTGGAGATGAAAATCAAAAAAAGAAAAAACAGACCTGAATGTTTATTCAATCAACCATACACACACACACACACATAAACAGATGACAAGAAAATAAAAATAAAATACATGACAAACACACATAGGGTGAAAAATAACTGTTAATGCAAATCATCAAGGAATGAATGAATGAATGTTTCCGCTTTGCTTTCAAACACATTCATCATTCATGCAAATTTAAAGTTTTGTTGCTGTTGCTATTTTTCTCTCTTTCTATCTCTCTCGCACTGACACGCAGGTCAAAACTTTGAGCAGTTATTTTTCTTGGATACCTGGAATTTTTGCCAATTTTTGTTTCTGGTTGTTGATGATGATGAATGATGATTTGTATATAGGGTTTGTATAATCGAAGAAACAAATGAGCCAAAAAATTCAACCTATCTGTGCTTGTGTATGTGTGTGTGTGTGTGTGTGTGGATATTCAATTGCCATCCAATCAATTCATTTGGAATAAAAATTTGAATTTTTTTTCTCGACGAACGGATGGGCGAAGGAAGTAGCTCGTTAACACTACTCTCCCATAACTAACTACTATGGATGATGATGATGATGAGGAAAAATAACCAAAGTTCCCAAAAATGATCGATCCGTGCAGAGAAAAAACCGAAGATAACCAAACCACTTAGTATAGATTTGGTTAGTTGAAGAGACCAACTATATCAGTTTACGGAATTTTTTGTTTCTTTTTTCTACTGGAAATCTTAAAAATTTCAAGAAAAGTTTTAGTTTTCATTTAATGAACATTTTTTTCCTCATCAAATCTAATTCAAATAAGTCTTTTCGTGTGTTTGTGTGTTCATCTTCCAATCATTTCATTGCAGTATTTTTTATCCAATTTTTAGCAAGAAAAATTCACATGATGGTGATGATGCTTAAAGTAAACTATTTTAAACTAAACGAAATTTATTATGCTAATTAAATGTATGTCATGTATGTGTTGTTGTCGTCGTCGTCGTTGTTATTGTAAGTAATCATTATCATCATCATCATCTTTGAATGTAAATGAATGATGTAATCGTCTCAAAATTTCAGAATAATTATGGTATTTATATACAAAAAAATACTATGTTCATTTCTTTGGATTTTCTTTTTCTTTTGATTCTTTCAATAGACTTTTCAATTGATTTTGATTCATTTTGCTTTAAAAAATTCACTCAAGGAATTTTCCAATGAATAAATTGTGTTTTAAAATGAAAGTTTTCTAGCAACAAAATCGGTTGGATTTTTAAAGGTTTTTTTCCGAAAAAACCAAGCCAAACCAAACCAAACCAAACAAACAAACCATTCATTCAAGTATCTATGTCTTATACCAGATTCGCTTGTAAGACGTATCTCTGTTAAATTAAATTTTCCAATTCATTTCCATTACACATGATTACATTCCGAGCGTCTAAATAATAATCGACGATCTTTGTACTTGGTAGTTGATTAATTTCTCCATCATTTCATTTTATATTCACAACAAAATCACGTATTATGAACCAGAAACGAAAATCAATTGTTCGATTTTTCCATTCACAAATATATGCGAATATGGTTTCCAGTCACGAATTCGCACGCATACCTGTAAGGAAATTTCTAAAAATAAATCAAATTCAAATATAACAAGAGAGAGGGAGAGAGAGAAATGGAAATGGAAATGGAAATGGAATTTAGATTCACGAATAAATATAGATTCAAATTTGATTTTGCCGTCACTCTCTCGCTTTCTTTCCATTTATTGATTGATCGATTGAATCGTAGTCGATAGAATTTTTCCCGTTTGATTCGTGATTTTTTTGGAATGAGAAATTTTATCATTTAAAAATACGGGGTTATTTTTGTATGATTTTGCTTATCACCAAAAATGAACGAAAATTGCCTGAATTCAACTGTGTGGTAATTGAATAGTGTGTTTATCGAAAATGTATTCAACGAGAAAAACAAACAAACAAAAGTCACATTATACTGGACAGAATTGTTTGTAGTATATGTTTGTCCATGTCCACAAATTACATTATAATGCCTTGCATGGTTCCAAGATTATTCTCTATATAATGGTGCAAAGGGTTAATCTTGTGAAAATCTAGTAGCTAAATAACGTCTGAATAATGATCATCATCATTGAAAAAAGAAAATGTCATCAAGATTTGTGTGTGTATGAGTGTGTTTTAAAGATGAAAATCATCTTTCCCTATCTATCTCATCATTATTAATGTGATGATGATACAAGCAAAAAAAATTCCAAGATTTCTTTTCTCCACGTTTTTGTTTTGTATTTAATATACATTCAAGTGCTGATTCTTGAAATGGATCGATTTTGTTATCTTTGTAATTCATTCATTAAGTGAGTCAAATTTATGATATTTAGTATGGATGAGATGGTGGAGAGAAGCAGAAAAAGCACTTCATAACTATCATTCGCCACCAACCAACTGGTGAAAAGTATTATTGTTATTTTTCTCAGAATAATAATAGTTTTCGACATTCATTCACAATTCAATTCAATTCAATTCATTCACTCTGTTAACTCATGTACAAGAAACAAAAGATTCTTATTTCGAATAAGTTAAAATTATACGTGATGATTATAATGTGGTAATGTGGTTGTTGGCCGAAAGCAATAATCATTACATCATTACATCATGTTATTTTTTATCATTTTTCACTTGTTCATGGTTCTCGGTCCCCAATGGAATTTGAAGAGAGGAGATGAAGGGGAAAAATTTAAATTTTTTTTCCATTTCATCATCATAAGCATCAACAAATGAAATGCGTTTTCAAACAACAACAACAGAATGGTTGGAAAATTTGTTTCTTTCAGCATTTTTTTTTCATTCAACTTGACAATTACCGTCGAACGTCAATTCCACCCATTTATTTAAAAAAAACCGAAATATTCAAACAACCCTGTTGCAAGTAATCATTCTGTCTATCTGTCTCTCTTGAGATTTCTTTCTCTTTACCAAACTAACCGAAAAAAATGCCAAAATTGATTCATCATCGATTCTTCCCATATTCACATCACATCACTACTTTCGAAATTAAGCCAATAATGTCGATGATGATGATGTTGACTCTCAAGAGATAGTTGCTGTGTATAATAGAATAGAATATTTGCGATTGTTAATGATGATGAAAATCAGCAAAGAATTTTTTTCGCCATCCACTCATCAAATTGGATTATTATAATGATGATTGTTGTTGTTGTTGTTGTTGAAGTGAACTGAATAACCATGCATGATTAATGCATGATATTCTATATTCACACAAACAGACACAATTCTCGATAATAAAATCCTTATCTTATTGTTATTGAATTTTGCTTCAAATCATCGGCTTTTTTTCCCATTACATAAAACTTTATTATTTCAATGAGGATTTTCGTCAATTTTTCGGATGAGAGAAAAAATGTAACAAAATTTATGAACAACTGTTAATGTTATTTTCTGTGTACACATGTGTGTGTGTGTATGTGATTCGAACCGAATCTTTGTTTTGCATTATCAGATTGGTTTTATTGCCGATATCAAAGTCCGTTCATCATTCTTCACTCGTGATTATTTTGATCAAATTGTCAAATGTTGTTCACAATTTGTATTCGAATTCTAATTTTTTTTCTTTATTTTTCTATATTTAGATTCATCCCACCTCATTTTAGTGAATGAATGTGAATAAATAAAATAATAATTATGGCAACGTCATCATCGACAATGACAATTTCTAGTAATGATGAAAATCGTCTAATCGAATGGCTTAGAAATAATTGTCTAAAATTATTAACGACAGCCAATTTACAACAACAACAACAAGCTCACAATAATAATGATGATGATGATTTAATAAAAGATAATGAACGGAAGTCCAATTTATCATTATTGCATTTATTAAATAATGATAATCAACGAAAACGACAGTCAACAACAATGACGATGAACGATGATAATGGATATGATACATTCAACCATGATAATAGAAATATTGTTGTATCACCTGTTAGATCACAAGATGAACAACATCGACAATTATCATCATCATCATCATCACCGGCAATTGGCGGAACTGAATTAAATCCATCCGAACGTTTAATGATAATGTCAACATCATCATCATCGACAATTAACAATGATGTAACAGCTTCTGCATCATCACCATCAATGATAAATTCGATTGATGGTAATGATCCAATATTGATAACGGCAATCAATAATGGTGATCATCATCATCATCATAATCACCATCATCAACCATCGATTGTAGTTGATACTCATGCGATAATTGATACGAATAGTGAATCTGCTAGAAATGCCGTGATATATGTTGGCGTAATATTAAGTTTTTATCTATTGGCCATACTGACAATTGCCATTCAATATTACATAAAACACCAGACATTAGATCCATTCAGTGCCTATATTTTTGGTGGTGGTTGTAGTTCATCATCATCATCGACATCAACCAATAGAGATGGACGTGGTTCGAATTCAAAATCATATAATAAACATCGAGATCGTCGCATGAATTTGAATTCAAATTTGAATAATAATCGTATTATGACTCAAAAACAACAACGGTCATCACCATCATCGTCATTATTGTCACCATCATCACAATCGATTATTGGTGCTAGTGGACCCAATTCATTGGCAATTCAATGTAGACAACAGCCATTATCATTACAACGACCATTGAATAATTCTTTATCATCACCACCATCATCATCAAGGTTAATGTTATTCGAACAAATGATGATGACGCCAACAACAACAATGAGAAAATTTGAAACAGAATCGGAACAACAACATGAAAAAACTGGAGCAAAAAATAATTTAGTAAGTTATCTTTATTTCCTTAAATTCGTATTGCATACTATTATTCATGTATAATTGACATTTTTGTGATTTGCTGAAAACAAATTCAATAAGAATGAGCAACAGAAAAAGAATCAAATTGATCTTTTTTGATCCGATCTAGATGGTTGTTATTGTTTTTGTTGATGAGATAATAGGCACTTATTATTATATTTTATCATTTTTCATTTAGTTTGCCAACATTAATGAAACAAATGAAATAAAAGGAGATTCCCATTCCCATGAGAATCGAATCATGTTTGTCAAATTGTCAATGATGACATGAATGTCTCATGTCAATTTGATCTATTGCTGTTTTTTCGTTTTTTTGAAATTTATTTGATTTGAATTAATTAATTTATTGTTTTTTTCTTTCTTTTGATTAATTGATGTTCATACACGAATAGGATTCAACGATAATGATGACAAATTTTTTAAAACCATCATCATCATCGCCATCAACAACAACAGCAAAAAAATCTACAACATTTGATAGTCATTATAGTCGATACAATGATGAATCGATTAAATCATCATCAATGGCAAATGATGGTTCATCAAATCAGATTGATGAAGGTGGTGGTAGCGGTGGTGGTGACAGCCAAAAGAAGGTGATGTTTTACATTCTTCACCATCATCAATGATTATCATTCATCATTGTGATAATGATGATGATGGAAATGGTAATAATAATAATCGACAACGACAAATTTCAATCAACATACAACCGACAATAATTTTATCAAATGATTCAAATCAAATTGAAAAACAAAACGATGATATTGATCGACAAGATGAACACGAAAAATTAACCATTGATGAAATGGTTATCGATGATTTTGACGATGATGATGAATCCTGCATCTATGCCCATGATGATGATGATGATGACACAACGGAAGACGATGATGATGATTCCGTTGAGGAAGATGAACAAACAGATTCAAAATTTCGAATTTTCTCATCAAAAAAGCCAACTGCAACGACAACAACAACAACGGCCAGTAATTTGACTGATATGATACAAACAAAGGATCCATTGCCGAGTTCAACTATAACAACAACCACCACCACTACATCATCTCGTAGACAAATTCTTAAGAATCTTTTCTCATCATTCGGTTCACTAGGTTCATCATCGACACCATCACCACCTCCATCATCATCATCAACAGCAATGGTGATTGATCATTCAAATTCATCATCAGTGCCTTTATCAGTGCAATCATCATCAATAACTGCAGCCACTGCAACAACAACCAATGTACAGCCAGTTGTAAAAAAAATTCTAATTCGATCCGTATCATTACGAACAAATGACGATGGATCATCTTCAAGCTGTTGTCCATCATCATCATCCTCATTAAGAAATAATACAAATTTTCAATCAATAACTAGTGGATCATCATCGACCACAACAATAATGTCACACCATGATCTAATTTATGATGGTTCATCATCGGATAAACTACCGAAACTTGTTCGATTTCAACAACAACAACAACAACAACAGAATTCAACAATAACGTCAAATCAATCATCGTCATCATCATCATCATCGATTGTTATTGACAATGGTCATCATAATCATAATCGACGATATGAAGAGACACATTTGTAACAATAAACGTTTGTTCATCATCCATTTATATAAAACAATCGATAATTGTTGCATTTTTATTCATTTTTCCTTTCGTATATCATATTATCATATTATCATAATCATATGTATACAACAACACTGCAATGAAAAAATGAAATAAAATAAAATTCATTTCATTCGTTTATTCATACGTCGCAGATTTGGACGATATTTTTTCTTTCGTTTGACATTTTTTGTTGATTTTCTCGATTTCGTATCATCGTCATCAGCTATGGCCATTTCATAGTCCGAATCGGTATCATTTTGATCAAGTAAATGATCAAATTGCTCGGCCGATGCAAATATATCGTTTGTAATGGATGAAAAACCATGTTTACCTTTGAATGGTGCAGCATTACGTGCACGATTTTTGCCTATTTCTTTACGTACAGCTGGTTGTTCAAAGTCTTCATCATCATCATCATCAGTTTGATTGGTGTCGCTTGGAATTGATTCATCAGCGTCATCGTCAAAATCTTCCATATCGAAATCTTCATCATCAAATTCTTCATCAAAATCAGCCTCATCATCATCATCATCATCATCATTGATCGGTTGTTTTTGTTCCATAGACTTTTTTTTCTTTTTAGATGTTTGTAAATCTTTAGCGAAATCCATACTATCATCACCGATATATTGTTCATAATTATCAAGCAAGTCATTAAATTCTAGACTGGTCACCGATTCAATATCACTTTCCCCGTCATCGTCATTCAATTTATCCATTTTCATCATTTTTCTTTGCTGTAAAAATTTATAGATGAAACGTTCATCAATCGGTATCTGTTGTTCGTTTTGTTCGACATAATCTTTTGAATTGATATTCATGGTTGATGATGATGATGATGATGATGTGTTTGTAATTCGACTGAAAACTTTTCCAACATCACCACCACCATCATCATCATCATCAATACGTTTAGGATTTTTAAATGAAAAACGGTCCAAAAAATGTTTGAGGCTAAAATCTTCTAATGGATCACCGTCATATTCGAATGTTTCGTTGTTGATTATTTTTTGGGCAAACATTTGTATAGTTGGATGGAAATGATTTCGTAAAGCAAACAATTCCCAACACGGTTCTTGATCGGCATTTGCATATAATGGATTACGACAATCGAATTTATATTTCTCATCATTTCCATTGTTCTCATCCTTTGTTTTGTCCTTTAAATCAACATAGACCCAGGATTTAATTTGGCCCTCTGAGTTTTCTCATCATCATCTTCTCCTATGTTGAGATTTGTATCCCTCATAGGGACAATGTCAATTTTGAATCCTTCTTTTGTTTTCAACAGTTCACCAATAAGAATCAAAATGGCTATTACAAATGATGATGATGAATTTAAACATAGCTGTTGAGGTTAAATATAAATGTTAATTAATCAAAAAGAATGATTGATTTTCGAAAATTGTAAACAAACCTGTAACAATCGCTTGATGAATGCCCGTACTCTACGTATGATCGGGTCATGTTTCAATGATCGATAAATAATGTTCAACAATAGATTCAACTTGCTACATTGATCCAATGTTGTATCCAATAGAAAACGATACAATGATGAATAGAAACGATCAGTTAATGAGCCATTTTGGGTGAATAAAATCATCTGAAACATTAATGACAATGTCTGTATGGCTGTATTGCGATTAACATAATGTATTAGTCTATAGAAAGTATTCAAATGTTTTTCAATCATATCCGAATCAAGTTTCGAATATGGAAATGCACGTGTTACACCTGTTAATAATGCGGACATTGTTTTGCTGTTCACTTGACCTAATTTCGTGCATTTAGTAAAAATGGCAAAATAAATCTGTATAACATGATTGGCTAGTTGACGATCAACACTTGATTGGTAAATGATTTCGCTTAAAAAACAAAGACAATAATATTCAGTGCGAGCAGTTATATTTGGACGAAATAACAAACGTTCAACTTGTTTCACGATTATCGTTTTCATCTGTGAATGGTGTTGAAGAATCTGTGCCAATAATCGTGCCGTCGTCGATGCTATACGTGGGGTTGGATCGCCCAATTTGTTGATCAAATTTTCCAATAAAAACTTTTCCTGTTCCGGATTGTTTATGAATAAATCATACAAGGTTCGAATGGATTTCATTTTCAACGTATCCAGTGTATCATGTGAACATTGAACTAATTGTTCCAAAAATCGACGATAAAATGAACGTATTTGATCTTCAACGTGTGCGATAATTAGGAATTTGCGTCGATAAATGTTATCATTAGTGACAAGGAAATCCTGATCAGCTGAATTGATCAATTGTTCGAATGATTGTAGTTTTTGATTGGGAATCAATAGATCACCAATGAAAAGATCACGTACCGTGTCGATAGCCATTATACATTCCCGTTTTCCTTTTCCATTCACAAAACGTATCAATTGTTCTAATGAACGAAGATTATGTACAATTGAATCCTGTATGAGAACGGTATATGCTGCCAATTTATCCTGTACGGTGCCATTCGATAATACCGTTTTGATCCATTCAAAATCCTGTGCTTTTGATCCGTTTTGTTTTTGTTGATCATAAATATAATAGTCACATTTTAACAATTTAATTGCCTCAGCACGTAATTCAGTCACATGATCATGACTTGATCGTAATGATTGATTTGAATTGGGACCAATATTATCCACAACTCTTTGTCGATACCATTTGGTTCCTGTTGGTATCACCAATGTCTGTTTTGCATTATTATCATGATTTGATTTTGTCCGTTTCGATGGTTGATTAGAATGATGATGAGACATTTTCTTTGGATTCCTGTCCAAAATAAATCCATAACAATGTAATTGATTTTTAAATTTACTCACTGAAACTTACATTTTATTTTATTTTATTTAGTTGGATGAAATTTAAAAATCATTCTTTGATGTAAGAATCTGATAAAGTTTCAAAAAACAAACCATGTGGATTCTCACGTGATATGAATCCGCGGATTCTTGGATTATTTATTCATATAATACGTAATATGTTAGGTTTATTTATATTTACAAAAACAAAAGAAAACAGATCGAATCAATGTTGTATTTTGTTGATTTTATTTTGTCTGAGAAAATGATTCTCATTCTCAAGAATTAATCGATCATGACCATCTTACACGATGATAATGGCAGGTAAGAAGAATAATGCACAACACTCGACGTTAACATTGGCTACTCATTCGACCATACAAAATGTTGAATTAATTTTGGAACGATTTTTCGATTATCATATAACCTATCAATGGGATAAGGCCAAAGAATATATTGAACATGAACGTGATCAATTTCGTGCCAAAAATTCACATTCAATATTGACATCGATGTTACATTATCTGGCACAATTAATCATTGCTGATCGTAATTACTTGACATTGCAATTTTTCTCAAGTAAAGTATTTCAACGTAAAGATTTGTAAGTGGTTCAAAATGTTTGTTCAAAATGTTCTCATTTCTTTTTTGTTTGATTCTAGGTTGAAATCAACATATGATAATCTGAAAATTGAATTTCAACGTCTGGAAGAACGATCTAATCAATTATTTTTACGACATAATTTTCATCTACTCCCATTTCAATCATCGTCATCGCCAATTCATTCAAATTCTAATAATGGACAACAACAAGTTGCATCGATTGGTGGTTCAATCGGTTCGATTAATGATGTTGCCGATCTAGTTGTCGAAGAGGCTCTGGCCGATGATAGTGAACCAGCCAAAGAGGCACTTGATTGTATCGATATTATTGAAGCCGTGGACAATGAAAACAGCAGCCGACAACAATCGCCAATATTTGGTACGAACGCAAATCTTCAGTCATCTAGTTTATCTCGAGATCAATCATCACAAAATACAACAAAAAGCACTTTTTTCTCTAAATTATTTCGTCGATTCTCTTCTACACATTCAGTAGATAATGTTGGCCATTCAAATCAGACAAAATCATCCGAAATGAACGTGCCTATTTTCGAAAGTCTTGCAACGGAAGAACTGACATCATCGATACCACCACCACCACCACCACCTCTTCCGATGAATTTGGATTCATTCAATCATCTTGATTCTTTGGATCAATTTGCTGGACATTTATGTGGTCAATTAATTATCTATTGTAAAGTTCGTGTCGAAATGATTGATTTTTATGAACGTTTAGCTACGGTCGCTGGTAGCCATCATCAACATTGTCAACAACAGCAGCAGCAGCAGCAAACTATTAGCAATAAATTCCTTCAATTGGATGATTTTTTACAAACCCTAAATGATATACATTCACGTGCTGAAGATTCATTTCATCATCCGGTATTGACTCGATTGAAAATAATGTTCATGTTTGAATGTGATATAATGTTGGCGTTAGTTCGTGGCCATCAATCAATACAGCAATGGCGTTATCTAGAAAGTTTATTCGCATTACAAGAAGCACATAATAAAATTGGTCGTTTAGCTAACCCGAAAGAATTTTTCATTGGAAATCAAATGCTTTTATCAATGGTAGCCGGTAATGCTGGATCCAGTGCAGTCATTGTAAATGGACCACCATCGTTTCGGCAAAATTCACTGCCGCCAACAACAGGTGGTCAACAAGCTAAAGTAAATCAAACCAGTGCTAGTAGTGGACAGAATAATAATCAGATACCATTGACAGGTTCAACTAGTTCGAGCCCTAGTGTTGCAAATATAAATACTATGGGTGGTCGTCCATATTCACCATTATCACCGAATTTTGTTTATCCAAACACTACTACCGGAACATCTTCATCGTCATCATCATCAACATCGACAAAATTTCTATTTCGTACCATTCAACAACAACAACAACAGCAACATGATTCCGGATCTTCATCATTGGTGTTGTTGGATTCAAAATCGATACCATCATTGATTCAATGGTTCAATCGATTTAAATTATTTTTATTGTCAAAATATAGTTTTTATTTTCATTCCTTATTGATGATTCATTTGACACCGATTCAATCAAGTGGACCATCATCATCATCATCATCATCATCGACAACAACTATTGCTGCTACATCATCATCACCATCATCGACCATAATACAATCAATGACATTGACAAATTCTTTATCTTCACTGATAAATCAATCGCAATATTCACCAACATCAAATTATCAACAAACGGATAATTATATGCGTAATCTATTTGCAAGACATGGTAATCACAGCAATCAGTTTTGTGATTTTCATTCGAGAATTGTTCAATTTATACGTAAAATTGGTTCAGATTTTCAATCATGCATTGTGCTTGTATGGAATATACAGGGAAAATCAAATGCTTCATTAGCCGGTTATCGTGCGCCACACATTGATTCGGTTATTGCTCAAGGTAATCATATCGCGATAGAGATGGATAGAATTTTGTAATTTACTTTCAATTCGTAGGTCGTAGTCCATTGCCAATAATTTATTGCTATCCACTGGAAGCCAATATGAATCGTCATCCATTCTTGATAATGATAATGGAAAGTCATTCGAATGAATTGAATAATAGTGATGTGGTTGTTATCGAACATGATCGTAATGGACCGCAACAATCCACAACGACAACAATTGATTCGAATCATCATGGTTCGATTAATTCATTATCCACTCTATTGAATGGCACATATTTTCTTACACGACCAGATCCGGATATGACATTGTCATTAATAGTGGAATCTAAACGGCCAATAACTGAACGTGATCAAAACTACATGCAATTCTTCATGCAAGACCTATCATTATCATTACGCGATACGAAAATTTTACAAAGTTTTCGTATGGCAAAATTTTGACCATTCAATCAATCAATATTGACTCTGGTTTTTTTCTAACGAACAAGTTTGTTTGACATATATATTTTATTTTATTTTATTTAATGTCTGTACCTGTACCATCTTTTAGTCTTGATAGATTATTTTTTCATAAGCACATAACGCAAATTAACGGTAATTACATATTGTCATAGAGAAAATGGTTTTTATCGTCATTTTTCAATCAAACATGCGTTTTATGAATGATAATGATCTTAATTAATAAAAAAAAATTTAACGTTACCACGCCACCAATGTTGGGTGTTTTTTCCAATGAATGTTTATTGTACATTCTGTTTGATTGTGATTGATTGTTACAAACCTCTATTGTATTTGATGTGTACCTACAAAATAATTATCAAAATGATTAACACCCAGGTATGTTAAAAATCACATTAAAAAGACTAACTTCAACGTCGGAACATTTGATGGCAATGAAACCCAAATGGAAACTGATAACAAACAAAATGAGTGATCAAGCACAGGTTGAAACATCATTCACATTTTTCTTTTGGCTCTTAATCATTTTATTATATTTCAATGATTTCAATGACAAAAAAAATCAATTCCAATTTTTATTTATGAAAAAACCATTGATTACCATTATAATACAATGTTTGTTATAATTTTGCATTCGTTTCGACAAAAAAAAAAAAAATAATAAACGAAAACAATAGAAGAAGTAATGATCATGTTCATCTCAACAAACATTGTGTGTGTGAATGATGACAAAATTTTAGTTGATTATATATATTATAAATTATATAATAATGTTGAAATTAAAATATCAATCATCATCGTAATGTTGTTAATACATGATGATTGTCAAATTGTTTGAAAAAGGTTATCCGGTTTCTTTGAATTATATATAGAATGAACGATGCTGTTTGTTTATCTTGTTTTTGTTTTAATGATGATGATGATGATGAAAAAATTGATTCATATTCATGTTTCAATGTTTAGTTGCGGCTGCTGCTTTCAAACGTCGTGCTTGTCGTGGACCAACCGTTGTTGCTGCGTATAAATTTGCAAATTTACCAATGGATAAACCATTTTTATTCTGTGGTCCATTTGTATTATGATTATTATGATGGTGACGATGGTGAGAATTGTGGGCATTTTTTTGTTCATTTTTCTTTCTATTACTTGATGTCGGCTTCCGGCTTGGATTTCGATATCCTATCGTTGAGGACGACGACGACGACGACGATGATGATGATGAGGATGACGATAATGATGATGATGTGGTTGAATTGTTTTGCTTTTTTTCATTTTCGAAATCTTTAATCAATTCGGATGAAATGATATTTTCTTTCGGTTCCCATTGATTATAACGACTAGACCAGCCTTTCCATTCAACGAGATATTCGATACGACCATCGGATGTTGTACGTTTATCTAATAAACGTTTGACTGCATACACATCTTCACCATCGATTAGTCCTCGTTGTTTTGACAACGATTTTGATGATGATGGTTTGTTCAAAGAATTTTTCGGCTGTCTTTTCGGCTTAGATTTGGATTTTGTTGTTGATGGCTGTTTTTTCGTTGGCGATCTTGTTGAAATATCAAATGCAATGGCCACCGCAGCATTCTTTGCCGATTGTCTTTTACTTTTAGTGCTCATGTTTTGTGCTTGTGTTTGCAAACATGAATCGATTGATTGATTTAGCTAAATGGTAATGATGATGAGATCAAGGAGAAAAAATCGATAATCATAAATACAAACTTGACGAAACGAATGCCGAAAAAATGTATCGATTTGTTGTTGTGATATTAGGGATTGCAAGTAATATTTACGTTTCCATTTCACCCGTACGAGTGCTTATAATGATAATCAATCAAAAACATCAGAATAATTCCAAATTAAATTTTATTAAATTCGTTTTGTTTTGTTTTGTTTTGTATTACAATCAGTTTCTTGAAACTTGAGCTGATGATTTCACTAAATGGCGGCTATTACACACACACACACACACACACCACACATACACACGCACAGTAGAAGCATAATACACAGCGAGTTATTGAATACATGATGATCAACAAATATATACCTCTATTTATATCTAATGAACATGTTCGGGTAATTATGGGTATCGTAGAATGATTTGAAATGAAAAAATTCCATTCGAAATGTTGAAATTTTTGATATTTTTTCCTTTTGGTGATTATCGACGTGAATATAATATGGTGCATCACTTGTTAATTATTGGTAGCTGATGAACGAAAAAAAAAAAACAAAAAACAACAATAATGATTGATTAATTTCATACACCAAAGTCATATGATCAAATGAAATGAATTCACACGGCTAAAAATATGGATAATCGTGATTATTGATATTGATTCGTTCAAACTTGTTCGGATTATTGTTTGCTGAGCCTTGATAATATGAATCGAATGAAGGCCAATTTGATTGTTGTTGGAAATTGTTGCTGAAAACTTCAGGATATTTTTGATTCGAATTATCATTCGGGCCAATAGATTTTTTATGAACTGATCGATTATAGTTTGATTGCAGATATTCACTTGATTCTGGAGGAATCAATGAATATTGTAATGACGTTGGTGATTGATGACTGTTGTGGTTTGTTTGTTGTTTTGATTTTGGTTTTGGCTTTGACTTTTTCTTTGATTCAACGGCCTTATTCTTCTCTCCTAATGTAAACAAAGAGAATCCACCATTCACCGGTAATTCATAATATAATGTTGATGATTGATTCACGGATTCCAGTGAACGAATTTTATGTTTTAAATATTTTCGATGATTGGATAGAACGGATGTATCGAAACAATAACCACGACGACCATTTGATTTTTGATTACCGTGATAACTGTTGAGAATTTGTTTCAATTTTTTCTGTCCATCAATTTTTTCTGTCATCCATGTATCAAGTTTATTATTATCAGTCATTTTTCAATGTTGATTCACTTTTTATTCAATTTAATGAAAATTCTGGATGATGAACAAATAATGATAATGAAAATGTTAAATGAATGGTAAATGGAAATGAAAAGATTCGAATTTTGAAAATTTGTTTCAACGTAACATTCTTTATGAACGGGCAATTTGTTTATTTTCTTTCAATGTGTGTGTGTGTGTGTTGTTTTCGAGGTATTTTCTCACAGTTTGTTGTTGAACAATCTGATATTTATCAATTCAATTTGTATGACACATTTGTAGTTTGTTTCATTTGGTAATCATGGCCGATCCATTATCATTATTACGACAATATCATATGCGTAAAAAAGAAATTGTCGAAAGAGATGGAATGATTTGTTTCGGTGAATATTGCTGGCCCAAACAAACGAAAACAAATTACCTAATCTATAGGTTTGTTTTGATATATTCATCTGCTCATTTCTAATTGTTCATGTTGAACATTTTATCAGTTCTTCACGTGATGGACCAAATAAAAATTATTATACGCTCGAATGTCTGGTATATTTTCTTCGTAATGTTCATCTACAACATCCTACCTATGTTAAACAGGCTGCTTCGTTTGAGATTCCCGGTTTGTTTTTGATTATTGTTATTAATTGATGTATTGATTTTTTAATCATCAACTGCCCATTCATCAGTCGTTCAAAGACCGGATCGTAAAGATTTACTTGCCTATCTTAGTGGTGAGACATCGACATCGGCATCCATTGACAAGTCGGCACCAATCGAATTGCCCATCAGCATTTCACAGCTGGTCAGTTATTAAATTTGAGTAACCAGTGATGAGTCATTTTTTGTCATGTGTCTATAGAATAAAGAAAGTGGCCATCAACAGAATCTATCTGGTCATCCTGGCGGCATGACTGGCTCATCGATCGATGGTCAAGATGGACCACCAGCAAGCAAATTGGCTCGATTGGATGAGATGGAAAAAGTTCGTAAACAATTTGCCGCACGGTTAGATGCACCGAAAATTAAAAAGTCATTACCAACGGATCTATTGATCGGACAACATGGTTCAAATTTGGCCGGTGGTATCGTTGGTGGCAGTGCTGCTGTTGGTGATTCAAATACAACATCGCTTCGTGATTCAATGAGTAATGAACAGATTGCCGCATTGAAAGCTAAACGTTTGGCTAAAAAACGTTCGACCATCATTGATGCCGATACCGATCTGGAAGGTGCTCAAGCATTAGGGTAATTATTAGGAATTCGATTTTGATATGAGTTGATTTTGATTTTGATTTAATTTTCCATAACCTATACAGACTGAACAATACAGCAGCCGATCATTCAGTGTTATTACAATATGATTCAAATTTTACCAAAGAAATTCAGAATAAAGAACGTGTATGGCGTAATCGAACGAATGTATTACAATCATCGGGAAAAAATTTTCAGAAACCAATATTTTTCCTATTACAGTCGATTAAAGCACGTGAAGATAATGCATTAAGGAATCGTGGTAATGGCGGTCTTGGTGCTGCAAACAATTCCATACATTCGTCAAATCAAATGAATCGATTGAATTCCTCGACAACATTATCAACATCGTCAGTTATAATGTCGACAACATCATCGCAAGTAAATAATGGCCAGCCAATGGGTGTCGGTGGTTATAATACTAATAACAATGGTGTTGCACCAATACAACCATCAACACAACCGTTAGCGAATAATGGTCAGCAACAACAAACAGCGCAACAATATAATCGTTATGATCAGGAACGATTTGCTAAAAATGATTCGGCACTAGGTTTCAGCATCGATACGACCAGTACATATCATGGTCTTACATTGAAAAGTGTGACTGAAGGTTCGACTGCACCGAAAACCGTTTCCGGTTCAACGGTGACCGGTCTGTTGATGCAGAAAAATAATGCACTTGTATCGAATAACAATGGTGGTAATCATCATCAAAAGCCACAGAAACGGCCCTCACGAACACCGATCATAATTATACCGGCAACGAATACATCACTGATTACGATGTATAATGCAAAGGCCATATTACAAGATTTAAAATACATGGATTCCAAACAATGCGATCAACGACGTGAAAATGAAATGCTCATACAAAGAAGGAAACCGGATAACACTACTGTTCCGTATCGAATCATTGACAATCCATTGAAATTAACACAGGACGAATGGTATGTTGCTATATGTAAAGAGACACAAAATAATCGTTGATTGATTGGTTGAATAGGAATCGTGTGGTGGCCGTTTTTGTTCAAGGACCAGCATGGCAATTCAAAGGTTGGCCGTGGAATGGTAATCCGGTGGAAATTTTCGCACGAAGTAAGTATAAACAAATTATCATTGGAATATTATTACATGATTGCTCTTTTGTTGTTTGTTGTTTCAGTAAAAGCATTTCATTTAAAATTTGATGAAATGAAATTGGATAATAATGTGGCCAAATGGTCGGTGGAAATTATTGAACTATCACGTAGTAAACGACATTTGGATCGGGCAAATTTATTGAAATTTTGGTCATTATTGGATCAACACATTGCCAAACATAAGCACAATGTAGTTCGATATTAAATCGGCTTCTTTTTCGCCATCATCATCATCATGCATTTCATTTACTCTCAACAATCAATTACTAATCACAATTTGTTAAATTGACATTGAAAAAAACATGACCACATTGGTCTTGATTTGATTCTAAATGTAAATAATAATTATGTTATGTATAATGTAATCCATTCAAATAAATAAAGTCCAATGAGTTTGAGTTTGAGTTGTGAGGAAATTTTTTTATTTATAAAAAAAAATTGCAATTAAAATTGAATCAACAAATGTGGGTAATGGAAAAATGAAAAAAAATTATCGTTGCAAACATAAAAATATTTTACAAACAAAAGCATTTCAACCATTTCCGTTGGAATGGGACATTGTGTCACAAGTATTGCTAGTAGTAGTGTTGTTGATTTTATTCATTTCATCAGCATGTTCACTGTAAAGATGAACCTGAAGAAATTTGGCCGCTTTGAATAGACGAAAACAAATATGACAAGTGTTTGAACGTGTCGCTGCAATGGTACCATTCAATGTGGATGATGATGATCGGGTTGTAGGCGCCATATTAATCGATGATGCAAACATAGTAGTAGTACCAGTATTATTAGTAGTATTAGTAGTAGTAGTAGTTGCTATTTTGTTGCATTTTTGATCTGGTGATGTTGAATGATCCTCGTCATCATCGCCATATGGATATTCTTCTGTTATGGCACCAGAATCTGAATCGTCTTGATTGCAACCACCATTACTACTACTCGATTCGTCATTATTATTATTGTTGTTGTTGTTGTTGTTTTTATCGATATCATCAATGATGACATTTTTGTTCCAACACATTTGTCTTGGATCATATAACTTTTGTGCCAATGATTGTAGTGTTTCCAATGCACTACCACAATCCGAAGTATCAATGAGGCCTGGATTAATATTGTTACGTTCCATTTCGGCAAACATTCCGAATGGTAATTTACCCAGACACTCAAGTTTCATGATGTGAGCTTTCGATCGAAGATGTTTGGCTAGATGGCCATGTATACGGAATGCAATTTTACAATATGAACATTTAAATGGACGAGGATTATCCACCGATGGTCGGCCAAATGTTATGTTCATATTCAATTTATTCATATGCGATACTGAACGTGCATGTTTCTGGAGATGACCTTTGGTGCGAAAACTTACGGCACACGATTCACAACGAAAAAGACGTTCAAATGAATGGATTTTATAGTGTAAACGTAATTGTTCCGGTTTAGTGAACTGTTTCATACAAGTAGGACATGTTGGTTTGCCGCCATCAACATAGTTGGTTGGACTTTTGGCCATTGTTTTCATCATCATTGCTGAATTGGTTAATGCTGGTGAACATTGTTGCTGTTGTGAACCACCACCACCACCAGTTGATGATGTCTTATTACTAGCAATCATGATAACACGTGGCAATGAATGTGGTGATTGAATACCCGGTGTTAGATGAGCAAATTCTTCACGGCGGACATTTTGATACAATTGATGGCCACCACCATTCGTAGTATCAATGTGATGGACAACGTTTGATGAGGGTTCCATTTGTGATAATGGGGAAAATGATTGTCGCACATGGTCGGCAAGTTTAGTAGTCGATGATATTTTCGTTGGTTTTTCTGGTGTTGCACGATTGATATCATTATTTGATTGAGGTTGGTTGAGACTGCTAGCACCAATGTTGGATGATGATTTTTTCGATGATAAATCAATCGGTTCGTCTTGTTGTGGAGTTGAATGTGAAGATTCAGCGATATTATTAGCCACAACATAGCGATTCAATGATTGTTCCACAATCGGTGGTAATGCTACTGGTGAACAAGCAGCGTTTGTCGATGGTGATGGTGATGGTGATGGTGATGATGATGATGATGATGATGATGACGGCCGAACAAGTAATGGTTGACCATGATATACAAGCTGTTGTTTTGTCATCATATGAATTGATTTTGAATCAGCTGATGGTTGTTGTTGTTGAACACTGGAAAAAATTTTCTGCAATAATTTATTATTATTATTATTTTGAGATTGATGATGAACAATGTTTGCGTTTGGACATTCATTCGAAATGATGGTTGACAAAACAATAGGCGACTTTGATGATATTTCTGGCGATGGTTCAGGTGGTGAAACAATAATGTTTGGCGTTTCGAATGTCATCGAAGAGTCGCCCAATGATGTTGTACGAATTCGTTTTCTAGGACTTGTATCCACTGTTGGGGCATGATGCTGTATCGATTGATGATTAGTGATGATCACACTTGTTGGATGACTCATTGGTTGACGATATTGATTTGACTGTGGTTGTAATTGTGCTGGTGCTGGTGGTGGTGGTGGTGGTGGAGGAGGAAGAGGTGGTGATGGACCATTGATCATTATCTTCATGGAATCAACGGAATCATTTATTATCGGTTTTAATAAGGCCGTATCGTAGCCATAAAATTCTGGCATAAATTTTGATAAAGATCGTTGATTTGCTGTTGCAGGATATAAACTGGATGATGCAACAAGTGATGACTGTGGTTGTTGCTGCATAATTTTGTTGTAATTTTGTGTCAATTTTGATTCATTTGGTTGTTGTTTTAATGATGATCTTGGACAATCATCACGATTCGAAGCTGTTGCACCCGATGATAATATCAACAGACTGTGGATGGCCTCAGTTTCATTTTCATTGTGACCAACTGTTGTCATTGCTGTTGTGGTTGGTGGTGTTTGTGGTGGATTTTCATTTTTGTTTTCTTCCACCATTGATTTCATAATTGATGGTAATGTTGACGGGATTGTATGGTGTTCGCTTTCAACAATGGATATTTTTCGTTGTCTTGTCGTTTCCACTTGATTATTAGTATTAGTATCGGTTTTTTGTTTTTTCTCAGCATTTGATGAATGTTTCAGCATATCATCATCGTTGATGGCATCATCAAATTGTCCGGGTTCTACATAGGTCAATCTGTTTGTTGGTTGTTGTTTTGGTTGTTGCGTTTCGATTGGAACACCTATTTGGATTATATTGAAATGAGATTGGAAAATATCACCATCATGATATAATTACCTTGATCGTCATCATCCAATTCATCATCGTCGAACATATCATCGTCATCATCGTCATCAAATTCATCGTCATCATTTGAGCAATGTAACAATCGATTAGTGGCACAATTTGAATCGGGACGATTTAGTTCATATTGTTCTTGTTTAGCTAATGCCTCTAAATCAATTTGAGAATCATCAATGCATGTTGGCACAGGTAGGATGCCTAGTTCCACACATTTTTTGTGATGTGCTTTCGATTTCATGTGTTTGGTTAGATTTCCTTTTGTTTTGAATGCGAATGAACAATGACGACATGAATATGGACGTAGATCAGTATGTGTCCGAATGTGTTTCTTTAACATTGACGGTTTCTTACAACGGATACCACATTCACCACAAACATATTTACCACGACCACGGCCACGAATATAAGTATAGTCTTCATTCGATTTGAAACCACCTGAATTGATAATCATAAATCACAAAAATCAATGATATAGTTAAATATATGAACAATTCACAATGACAATTTTTCGATTGTTTTGTACACAATTTTTTTCAAAATAAACACACACGACACACACACAGTTGTTGTATAGAACAAGTTTGCTTCGAATGATCAACTAAAATAATGCATGATGATGATCATGAAGCAAAGTGATAGCTAGCATAACTCAGCATAGCTAGTGGTCTAAATGAATTGATTCGTTCAATCAATCAGTGTTGGTTCAAACGCAACACCAGACTAATTTAGCAGAAAAGAAGTGACGAATGGGAAAAAATTTAGAAAAAAGAAAGAAACGAAGCCGCGCACGAATCCACGAATCTCATAACACCCACTAAAGTCAACAGACACATGCAAAACATGCAAAACAACAACAACAACAATTGGAGATGAAAATCAAATTCAAAAGACTCAAGCACTCGATTTCTTGACTGACACATATAATATAGTGAGAGTGTGAAATGACGATCATCATCATTGTCGTCGCGGTCGTCGTTTTACAGACTTGTTGGAGCCAGACAGTGCGGCGCCAGCTAGACACTTTAATAGTCCGTCTATGTCTTTGTTTGTTTGTGTCTTGGAATGAATAGATCATATGCCAATGATGATAACCATTTGGCTAAATAAAAAAAAAAAAGAATGAGCGGCAAAATGTCTATGTGGTGAAAGAAATGCTTCAAGCGAAACAAATGTGTATGTATAATAACCACATTCATTCAGTTTTGTTTTCGAAAATTTTCAAATTCATGAAATTTGCTCCATCTGATGTTGTTTAAGTTGTTGATGATGATGATTGAGTCTAGACATCATCATCATCATCATTCTAATCATTCTGTTTGAAACAAAAAAGAAAAGCAAACATTTCAATTGCATTGGATTCATGCAATCGGAATTTGCCATCGAATGAATGGGATGTGAATCATTTAAATTTCAAACTACAGGAAAAGGTTTTTTTCCTGAAACACTTCATGATCAATTTCGTTCCATTTGGGATACCTGCTGAGAGTGATGAGCTTAGAAAAATCAAAATCATTGTTGTTTGAAACATACACGGGGTTGGTTAGGTCGTTTATTCATTCTCAAATTTTTTATTTTTTTTTTTGTACATAATACAGGTTGACCTAGATTCCTATACCAGTAGTAGTGTAGTGACAAAACACTATGGACCGAAAGAGAGGTGAACGAACCAAAATGATAATGGTCCCATATGGTTTCAAACAACAAAACGAGAGGAATGAAAATGATGCAACAAGTGATGGCATTTTTTATTGTCGTTGTGTGTGCGTTTATTTTTGTATTGGTAAATCACAAACATTAAAAAATGGCCAACATCCACGCAGATTTAAATGACGTATTTATGGGCACCTTCCTAATCTATTTTCTATTGTGTTAATCAAATGATTAGATTTGTATGATAATCAAAATAAAAAAAACAGCAACTTTAATTGCGGAAACAGATTTGAGGGTCGTTATTATATGTGATGATTTCAGAGAAAAAAGTTGGAAATTTAAAAATTTTTTTCAATAGAATCATCATCATAAAAAACCACACCATCTTCTTTAGGACCAAATGTAATTTTATTACGTGTGGCCTTGATCCGCACACAATGTTATTTTAAATGAATTTTATGAATATTTCCATCACCGAGAACACATCTGTTGCAAAAAAAAATTGTTGAACAAAAAACCAAAACATCAAGAATGATCCACATCATGATTGAGATCATGGGATAAAAGAAAACTAGTGAAACATGTGTGTGTGTGTGTGTGTGTGTGTGTGTGTGCTCAAAGGGTTTCTCACATCCATTCCTTTGCTTTCATTTTTTCCAGGAATTTTTTTCGCTACTTTCTTCAATCATCATCACCCTGAAAAAAAAGATTTTCAATTGCTTCAAACATTTACCTCTATCACTATGTTCCTGGATCAATTGAAGCAATATGTCAAAAAATGAAAAAGAAAAAACTACATTTCAAGGTTGCCCTCAACAAACACAGTATATAGGAGAAAAAGAGTTGATGAGACAAAAAAAAATAAAAATAAAGAATGATGATAGTGCAGCAATTGGTGGGAAAATGAAATTTTCCAAAAAAAACCAATTTATAATTTATAATTCACCAAGGATATGTAATGTGTAATTCCTAAGAATCTGTCAATATTCATCATCATCATCATCTATGGATCATCATTGTAATTGTAATTGATTGATATAATCGTCCAATGAGCAAAAGAGAGAGAGAGAGAAAGCATCCCTGTGTGCGCAGGCAATAAATAATGGGCGAAAGAAAAGAAAATGATGTACAATCTTGGCCCATTTTCATTCATTCATTCATTCACTCATTCATTCATTCATCTGGTTTAGTTGATGGTGGGGTGAATAAAAGTGAAAAAAAATTTCATGCCATAGAACGATAATTTGCATAATTTTTTTCATTTCATTTCATTTTCTCTCACACATGCAATTGTTTGCATAACCTCTATAACCGATGCAAAAAAACAAAGGAATCAATGAATAAATGAATGAATAAATACCTTCAAAAATTTTGATTCTTTTCGGTAGTAGTAATGAGCCATCATCATTGGTGGATGAACTGGCCATCAAACGGTGCCAGTGATCATTGTTACAAGCATCGTATAGTGAATGAGGATAAAATTGTTTTTGTTTCACGCCGATGCATTCGGAAAATTTTCTTGACGCCAAATTGGTGGTTGTCGACGACATTATCTGCTGTACATTTGGTGCCGCCAATTTCGGCGGTATCTGTGACATCATCATGATGTACATTACAGCTTGTTTATCCGGCAAATGACCGAGCATTGGATGCATCGTTAGATATGGATTGTTGGATATGTTGCCAGTCATTCCAGATTGATTCGAGCAATTTTTTCTTTTTGCTGTTGTTGTTGTTTCATTCACTTTGGATGTTTTGTTGTTTTCTTCATTGTTCACGGAACCAAAAATCATATTGTTTGGTGCTGTGGTGGTGGTCACAAGTGTAAATGAAACACGTGACGATTTTCGATGTGATCGATTCCAAGAGGATTGATTTATCGATTTACGTTTTTGTTGCTGTTGTTGTTGTTGTTTTTGATGGTGATAATAATTGGAATGTGTGGATATGTAATGCATACGTGTTAGGGAATCACAAATACGATCAACAATACCGGAATCGATTGACCAGATGATGGTTTTCAATGTCCGCTCAGTTAGTCTGATTGTGAATGAAGTTTTGCTGTGGTTCAGTACATCACTGTTCATCATATGACTTGAACGTGATTTGACCGTATCAAGAAATTCCTGTATAGATCCCTTTTGTTTGCAAGATGACAAAGATGATGATGATGTTGATTGCTGCTGTTGTGGTTGTTGTTTGTGTTGTTGGTGTTGCTCCTCCTTGACGATTATGGTTGGCGGCTGATCGTCGTTGTCGACATTTACGGTCGCTACCGTTGTCAATGATGATGATGATGTTCGGTTCATTGTTTGCGTTATATTGTGGTGATGGTGAAAGACCGCCTCATTTGAATCATATGCTGATAATAATTGACAAGGTGATTCAAGTGTATGCAACACGTGTCCTTCAGGTACGGGATGTGTTGCCCATTGTGAATACATTGACAATTGTGGATTTGCTTCTTGCATAACATACATTGGTTGTAAGCGATAAATGCAACAATACGTTGGCCGTAATGATACTTTTAGTCCTAGGTTCGAATAGGCGTTACCATCAAGAAATAATTGCTGGTACTTTTGTTGTGATCTTGGTGTATCCGGCGATATCAAGGTGGATGGCATTAATTTTATTTGTCGTCCAAAATCACCACAGTCAACACTGTTAGTACTACCATTGTGGTTGTGATTAGTATTTGTGTCTATCATTGAACATTGATTGATCAGTATCGATAGTTTTCGTCCATTCGACAATTGTTTCTGCTGATGATCATTTAAATTCAACGCTAACGTTGTTGGTCGTTGTAATGATTTTTTCGCCAATTCCATACATTGTTGGCCACGATCCACAGCTTCCAATAGATCGGCCATCAATAGGTTCATTTGTTCGCCATGATCCAATTCCATCAACATGTCGTCCATTAATTGTCGGACAATTTCATCCAGTATGATTTCCTCTTTTTGTTTGACGATAAATTTCGTATCATCCTTGGTTGTTACTTGTTGTTGTTGTTGTTGTTGTTGTTTATCATCATTGTCCAATGCGAATTCATAATTAGTACGAGTGTCGAGTAGATTCTGCAACACTGGAAACAATATTGGACCTTTGAGTGTGATTTTGGTTGGTGGACGCATCAAATATGGCATATAGGCTGGTATTATCTCCATTGCCGGTATCAACGTTTCATGTTGTTGTTGTTGGATATTTTGTAAAATTGAGTCTCGATATTCGTTGACGGCTGATTCTCGTTTTGTGTCTGTTCATATGGAAAGGAAAAGATTATATGAGTGAAGTTACATGAGGTTACAAGAGATTACAGCAATTATTACCATTGTTATAATCATAATATCTAGATGATGACCAATGACGAAATGCCGGCTCAGATATTTTCCGTTTTTTCAATCCAATCGATGATGATGATGTTGAATGTTGTCGTGTTTCAGCATCATTGTTTGAATGTTGTTTTTCATGTCTTGGACAATGATATGTTGTCTCATCACCATCATCATAATCATCATCACCATCATCGTCATAAATGTTATCCGAATTGAAACCGGAGAGTAATTTGGATTTAAGAATATTTCCGAAATTATATGATGCAGATGACGATGGAATGGAAAATTGGTTCGAATCATCATTGTTATTGTTTGAATCTTGTCGTCGATTTATGGCGGCCGTATAGCTTATGATTGATGGCCGTTCCAGAACGCATACTTTACGTTCCCGTTGTTGTTGTTGTTGCTGCTGTTGCTGCTGTTGTGGTTGTTGTTTTGTAATCGATGACGTTGTTGATGCAATCGATTCCGAATGTTTGTTACTCGTTTCACTGTCCGATACAACCTGTTGTTTTTGCTGTTGTTGTTGTTGTTGTTCACCACCACAGCAATAATATTTCTGATGAATTTCAAGATTCTGTTCCTGACGAAAGGGAACCGCACAAAATTTACAGGTATGCATAGCTGGTGAAAGTAGTAATTGATGTTGTGATGGTGGTGGTGGTGGTGGTGGTGGTTGTTGTATGGTCGTTTCCAATTGTTGTTGAGCATTACATGTTGGATTCAATGAAGGATTCGATACTGAACAACGGCTTCGTTTTCGTGGTGGTAAATGTGAATCGGATAGATTGTTCAATGTCGTCGTCGTCGTCGTCGTCGTCATCGCTGTTGTTGTTTTTGTTGAAATCAATGTTGGTTCAGCACTATGCTTGCTGTTTTTATCCGACGATGAAGGTTTGAGCAAAAGATGTTTGATTATACATTTCTGACCATTTTTTGAATGATGATCAGTCATCGCCATTGGTCGATTATCATTAATAGTCAATGTTGGAGATGGTGATTGCTGACCACTGTTGTCATTGTTGAATGCTCGTGATGAACCATTCTTGGTTTGGCTAACCGAATTCTGGTTATTGGCATTCGGATTGCTTCCACTCGAATTGAGCAATAAATTTCTCACTAAACAATTTTTCGGATCACCAGTTGATGATGATGGCGATGATGATGATGACGATGATGATCCGTTGTTCATTCCAGCTGATGTTTGTGTGTCGAATAGATAATTTTGATGTATCGTACCAGTACGTGATGATGTTGCATTGATTATCACGGATTTTTGATTGCACATATCACTACGTCCAGTCAATTTCATCAATGATGGTGAATGATGTTGTGATGGTTCAAATAGTGACGGAAATAGGCTATGTGACGATGAAGATGATGAATTCATTGTGGGAGATTGTGTGACCGTGGTAGTATGATTTGTGGGCAAAACTGGTACCGGAGAAGCAGCAAGAGCAGCTGCATATTGTTGAGACCATGTTGAAAGAAGGTTATCCGAATATTTTTTCATAACATCGTGATGATGATTGAATGATGGTGGATCATAACCAATAACCGTTGGCGTTGCAGACATGATCCATGGCTGTGCAATGGTTGTTGTCGCTGTTGTTGGAAATTGAGTCATGTATAATGATGATGGATGAAACGAAAATTGTTGTTGTTGTTGCTGATGGTGGTGGTGGTCATTTAGCTTTGTTGATTGATTTTCATTTTCCAACAATAAACATTTGTCACCCAATAAAGCTGATTGTAAACGAGAATATTGCAACGATTTTTGATGTGGATCACCCGTTGTTCTTGTTGTTGTTGTTGTTGTTAATGATGATGATGATGATGATGATGATGAATGACGTCGTAATGGGTAATATGGCTGTTGTTGATGATGATGATTAGGGTTACGGCTAGTTGATGATGGTGATGATGAATTTGTGATCGATCGACGTTGGTGATGAAGATGATTAGATGCATCATATGAAGAGGTAGCCATCATTATTGGTGATGATGATTGAAAGAAACCACCAACATGACTCAACGATGATAATTGACTTGATTCGCCTACGATTGCTTTATTTTCCTGAATCAATTTGTTTATATGTTCAGATATATCCTGATCGGTTGGCCTATGATGTATTTGTTGTTGTTGTTGTTGTTGTTGCTGCTGTATAGCGGATGATATACCTGCTGGTGCAACAAACACTGATTGTTTTCTAATCGGTACAGTTGTACGGTGTTCATTGCGTTTTATGTCAATCGAGCGTGGTTGAGGTGGCGGTGTTGTCGTCGGTGTCGTTGTGGGTAACATGATTGTTGGCACTTGATTTTGGTCAACAGTTGGGTTATTATTGTTATTTGGGTCAAAATTCATCATTTGTATCAAATGATTAGACTGATTCCTCGCCGTCATCATCATTAGTGGTTGGTCATCTAATAATAACGTTCTTGTATTCTTGGATTGTTGGTGTTGTTGACCACCACTACCACCACCACCAATCAAATCAAACGAAAGAGGATGTTGTGTAGTATGGTGATGATTGAGATATTGGTGAACCGGATGGTGATGGTGATGATGATGGTGACTATTTAGATGATAATGTTGTTGCGTTGTTATAGCTGATGTTATTGTCGTCATTGCTGATGTAACCGTCGTTGCGGTCAATGGGAAAGACATTGTAAATTATTATTATAGTGAAAATTGTTCAACATAATTTTTCATTCAAAAAAAAAAAAAAAAAAACAAGACAAACAAAACAAAACAAACAAAACAGAAAAACAGAAAAAGCAAAACAAACTATGAATGTAACAAATTTTCTGGAGAAATGAAAAACATTCTGAATAATCAGTGAATGGTGATGATTACACTTTGTTGATCACAGTTGAATATCTAAGCGAAGAAATGGAAGAAACAAAATTACGATTGACAAAAATCAATCGTCTGAAAAATACAAATACAAAACTTGCTTGTGTGTATACTACGTGTGTGTTTGATCAAGTTTGTATTGGCTAAATATTAGTTGGTTGGTAACCGGATCATCATCACCATCGCCATCGTCGTTGTCGTAGTTGATCATTTCAAAGTTATCGTCGACGCACACAAATGATAAATCTATCTTATTTGGAGAACTGAAGCAAGAGGGGGTGGTGTTGGTTTTTATAAAAATTTTCTTTTCCTTTCCTTTCCTTTCCTTTGCTTTCACTAAATAACTCCGTTACACTTGTAAATTTTTTTGTTCTGCTCATAATAATAGTTGTCATTAGTGATGAGGATGAGTTACGTTTGTACTTGTTTTGTGGTATTGTAATTCATCGTTGGACTTTTGATTTTGGTGACGATAAAAATCAATGGTTGGCCAAACAAGCAGAAAATGTAGCAGTAAATGGTATTGGATTTTTATCACTTAAATGTTGATGATGTTGATTATCCCATTCACGTGATGATATCATCGACTTGTTGATTTGTGTGAGTGTGAGTGTGAGTGTAAGTGAGTGATTTGAGAATCATAAATTTGAGATCGATATGGCTTGAAATGGAAGCAAAAAAAAAAAATGGTCAAGACATCGGTTAATCTGTTGATTGATTGAAAAGAAAAAATTTCAAATTCAATAAGCTTCTTAAAAATAAACAAACAAACAATTGATTGAAACTGCTGTTGATTATTTCATTTTTTCTCTGCAGAAAGATGATTGGAAAAGACAAATTCCATTCAAAAACATGTGATTTTTTCAATTTTACAAATTTTTATTGAAAAAATTAGGTTTTTCCACCTTTTTAATAATACTCAAACACAGAGAGAGAGAGAGAGAGAGGCATGATCGACATTGAACTTTTTACAACGGTCAATAATAATAGTAGTAATGATGATGATGATGATGGTGGTGATTGAAACAAACAACAAACAAAAACATTAACCATCAGCAACAATAACAACAATTATCGTATTTAATCAATCAATTCAATCACGAGGTATTTGGTCAGCCATTTAAATTGTTTGCAAACAGCAACAAGTGTTTGTTTGATTAAATTCTTTATTGAAAAGATTCGAAAACATTGCATTCATGTCACACACACGCACACAATGAAAATGTATCAGCAAATGGTTGTTGTTTAGCATCTAGCTCGACGACGATGATGATGATGCGATGAATCCATTCTATTAGTAATCACCCATTTTGATCTATACAACTCGATGTTTGTGTTGATCAATACGTACATAGCTGCTGTTGTTGTTGTTGTTGTTGTTTATGATCATCAACATGTTATGACGACGACGACGATGATGATGATGATGATGAGGCAATTGAGTAACCTCAGTGTTGAATGAAAATTTTTGATTGCAATAAAAAAAGCACCACCACCACCACTAATTCACTGGTGATCACGCACACACACACACTCATACACCAACCAAAATAGTGCCATTTTTTTCTTGATTGAGACAGAGATACATCGTTATAATTATCACATCGAATGATACACATGTGCAATCACAAGTGTTTTTTGCGGTGCCTGAATCGAATCAAAAAAAAGAAAAGAAAAGAAAAGAACTGAAAGAATTACTCAATTATTGTTGGTAGAAAAGTTTAATTTTGGGAAAAACAATGGAATGAATTCGTTGTTGTTGTTATTGACAAATTTTCCAAGTTGATGCGTTTTTCATCATACACATACATGAACAACTAAACTAATGATGATGGAAAAATGATCGCATTTGATTTTGATAATCATTTGGTGGTGGTGGTGGTGGTCGTCGTCGTCGTCATTGTGGTTGTTGTGTGGTAGTCACACACTGCGACGACAACGACGACGACGATGATGATGATTACATTATCATCACATAAATCCAAGGTCGGAAATTTCTTTATTTCTTTCTTTCTTGCTTTCTTTCTTCGTTCAAATCATAATTGCAATGGTCGAATGATAGTAGCGACGTCGACGGGGTATCGAGAACTAATTCGAACGTTGACGAATGACATGGCCATTACTCATAATCATCATGTCAAAGCTCAAGTTAACCATGGTTGATGGAAAATAAATCTTTACATTTATATATTTGTGTGATGATCCTGGATTTGATGGTGATGATTCACATGATGAAAAGAATTTTTTTTGTGCGGAAAAAATGTCCAATTCCTTATCATGATTTGTATCATCCTCATCATGATTAGTAATGTTTGTTTTGCAACAATGATTTATCGGATCCATATTCCATAGTCTATACAAACATTACACATGATCATCATCATCACATCACATCAAGGCCAAGGATAAATCATGTTTCAATATGCATAAATCACACATACAGAAACTGGATGAACAACAATAAATTTAAACCAGAAAAAAATCCAAATACCGAATACAATCATTGACGTAGGGCAGTATAGTACTGCGCACGTATAAACCTCGGTTCGTTCTTTACATCTGGATGATAACAAGTGTGGTGAGTGAAAGAGTGGTTAGTTAGAGTTGATTGCAAGTGATCATGGATCATGTGACAATGGTGGTTAATAAAAAAGAAGAAGGAAAAACTTTTTACTCTCTCTTTGTTTGTCACTGTTTAAATACTAAACTAAATTAAACTAAAAATCATTATCGATTGTTGTGAGGATTTGGATTGAACCTCCTACCTCCTGTTGGCGTTAAATATCATGGACAATTTTTTAAAAAAAACAAGAGGATTGTGTTTATTTGTTAATGGATGAAAAAAATACATTTGGATTGATTTGAATGTTTGCCAAATAATTTGTTCGAATTGATTTAATTGATGGATGATTGATTGATTGATTGATTGATGATAGAGAAAAAGAAAATTTGTCAACTACAAGTTGCAAGATTTTTTCATTTTTTCACTGGTTTGGCCATGTACTTTGTCCTTGTTTCGTCGGTTATCAGAATGCAGTTATAGTTAGCATTGTTGTTGTCAATTGTGTGTTTGTCAACTTTGGACTTGGTACTTTTATCGGTTGTCATTTGTTATCATCATCAGCCATTTTCTCACAAGTATGATTTGATCATCATCAAATATTTAGAAGAAACATTCGGCTATTTTGGGTTAACATGTTCTGTGTGCGGAAAAAAACACCATGTTTATGTTCAGATATCGATGATGATGATGATGATGACGATGATCCGATTGAGCAATCATGTCGGAAAAAAGCACAAATCGAATGGTTTGGAATTTTTTGTGGAAATTTCATTTTTCCCTTTGACAAGATGTGATTTTTTTGTTTGATGAACATTGATTTGCTTACCTGTTGATAGTATTGTTGAAATAAAGATTTATTGAAAACACGAATGAATCACTGAACTGAATTGAATCGATGCTACACGAGGATTGAATCCAATTGGTGTGTTGTCTTTACATTGTCGAATAATCAAGCCAAAAGTGAATGGAAAAAGGAAAAACACCCCCTGCATTTATTTTCGTTTCGTTTCATTTCAATTTTTGTTTTGGTTTTTTTCAGTGTTTTGAAATTTGGTTGATGATAAAACAACAACAAAATGATGACGACGATCTTTACCATGATGATGATCAGCAACAATAACAATATTGCTAATGGTTTGTTTGTTCGTTAATGCTAGTTGTTTCTTCCACTTGTTCGTCTTGTTCTTTTTATAAATTCAAGATTCAAGACTAAAAGTGTTTTGATTGGAAAAACAAAAAATCCACACACACACACACTCATACACCGTATATTTGCATGTATGTACTATGTTTCACTTTTCATGTACATTGCAATATATTGCAATCAATATCCCATCCATCCATTCCTCCATCCATGGTTCATGTATTTTCTTCTTTTTTTTCTCTTTCTCATTGCCTGCTCCCCCAATGGCTTCCAGGTTTTCCAAACATTCCATCATCATCATCAACAACAACAACATAAACAGACTAACATCGAAAGAAAAAACAAAAACGACTAACGATACTGACGCCTTGTGATGATTGTAATATTGACATGAACAACTATAGGGATCCATCCATGAAAACTATTGCCTTTGCTTGTTGTCGATGGTTAGAGAGAGAGAGAGAGTATTTCCCCTAATATCATCATCGTCGTCGTCTTGTTTTTTATTCATTTGATGATGAATTAGATAGTGAAAACAAAATTCGTACCCAACCGGCGTTCTTGTTGTTGTGTTAATCATCATATAATTCATCAAATGAATCGATGATGATTATAGTTAGTGGTTTGGCAACTATAGTCTATAGATGCATATTGATCATGGTGAATATTGTAGTATTCTAGTATTGTAGCATTCCGCAGAGTGTGCATTAGATACAATTTTTGGATGTCAATGAAAAAGAACATTGGAAACTTTCCAACATGTGCGCGTACATACGTGTCTGGTTTGTTGTTGTTGTTGTTGTTGTTGATATTGTTGATAGTGTTGTTAGCAGCTACAACCATCAAGTCATCGTCAGTGTTTATCTGGATAAAATAAATGTAGGTGTCTGATGTCTGATGATTCCAGGGAAAATACTCACCGATGAATATAACGGTAAATTGTTTCGAATGGTTTTGCAAAAACAACACCGATTTGTTTTGTATGAGAAATTTGAAATTCAAATTTTCGTCATCTCCCTCTTGCTGATGGTGATTATGTAATGTGATGAAAATCATCAACCTCTTTCTCTTTCACTGTATCAATAAATGAATGAGATGAGATGTCGAAATGTGTGCATGTTTTTTTGCCGCAGGACAAAAGAAAAATGAATTTATTTTCCCAATATTCCGATATTTGGTGTTCAAAAGGTCAAACCATTGCAATTGATTTATTCCTTTTCCATGTCAATGAATGAATGAACAACAACAAGTCATCATCATCATCATTCAGTTTCCTGTTTTTCCAACTCTTTTTTGTTTAGGGAAAATACCATAAACACGTGATGATGAGCAAGTTTTAATGTTCCAAGTGCATTTGCACCATGTCCATTTGTTGTTTGTTTGTTGCTGCTCCAATAAAATTTTTCCTGATAATGATGCTTTCGGCAATCAGATTAAAACGATTTAATTAGTTGGTTAGCAGTCAAGATTTGATTTTGGTTTATTTTTATCGCCAAAAAACTACTGATTGAAGCCATTTCAAATCGGTCATGTATTTTTTCCGACATTCATTATGATTTGATGGGATTTTCGGGAAACAACCATTAATTATATCCCGCAACGAATGCAACACAAGAATTGAATCAAAAAATTGTATCCGTTTGTTGGCCTGGTGTTTGCAAACGAAATAGTTGATTTGATTGGCCAAAAAAGAAATTGCTCAGTAGGATATACTGTTGCAGCACAAGCAACGGAAAACATGACTAATCAATCAATCGAACCGGGAACATTGCAAATGTTTCAATTCAAATTGCATAATAACGAATAAATCAAATTGGTCAGATCCGGATATGAAAAAAAAATATTGCTAATGTCATCAGTGATTGGAAAAACTAAATAAATCAGTTTATTATTTTGTTAGTCATACATATGTGAAAAATTCATTTTATTCTGTGATGGTGATTAGGATTTAATAACGGATAGACGGCATGAGAAGCAAGAAGGAAAATGATCTGTTGTTGTTGTTGTTGTTGGACTGCATCAAGATAATGACCTGCTGGCAAATTTGTCCTGTTGTTTTTATAATAATCAGATAAGTATTCAAAACCAATCGATATTCCACCACAAACGCAGTCCTAATGCCATCTATCCATATTTCCAGTTGATACAGACGCACTAAAGCATGAAATTTGAACAAAACACACCCCCACCAAACTGCAATGATTAGATCAACAGTCAGAAGAGATAAGAAATTAATTTTATTTGACACTAATAGAGAGTAATAATTAGCTAATGTTATCCATAGATGACAATGTTGATCGATGAAGACGATGATGATGGTGTTTGAATGATATTTGTTGTTGTTGCTGGTGTTGGTGTTGGTGTTGACGTGGATGTCGTAAACGGTATGATGGCCAACGACATATTGGACAACGATGATTACCACGACAAAGCCATTGTGCAATACATGGCTGATGGTAATTATGTCCACAAGCTAAACCCATTATAAGCTGTTCCGAACGATATGGCTCCAGACATACGGTACAATCGTGCTGATCAATCATCCATTCTGGGCGATGTGTTGAATTTGATTCCTGTTCAGGTTGCTGTTGTGTGCATTTGTGGACCACACCATTACCACCACTACGACGTTTTCGGAGGACTTTTTTACGAATTTCGGTCGTTTTCTTCATGATTATATCATGCACTACTACAATTTCATTATCAACATGATGATCATGACCATTGCTTTTATTCACGTCTTTTGACAACAAAACATTCATTGATGACGAATTTTTCGTTTCAAGTGTCGTTTGTTTCATACAATGCAGATAATTATCCTCTTCCGAAGATGATGAAGCAGTAGAATGACTATCGATAAAATTTTGATTACAATCAATCATCATCAACAATGATGATGATGATGATGATGATGAAGATGGCGATTCTTGTTGATAATTCCAAACGGGCAATCTATTCAGGTAGTCGTTTGATATCAATTCTGTGTGTAACCATAGATTGGGTGAACCGGCAAATAAACGTTCGAGCAATATACGATCCATATCCATATCGAATTCCATGTCCAAATCATCATCATTGGAAAGAAATTCTTCATCATCGTCTTGCGACACATATTGATCATCATCATCCTCATCATCATTGTCAATCATCGATGAGGACATTCGATTTGATATTGATGAATATTGCTGCTGTATTCGATCATAACGATTTCGATGTGTAGTGCTGCTTTTACGAAACAGGAAAACATTGATTTGGTGCAAAATTTTTCCAAAATAACACATCAACAGCGGTACGTCATAATTGCCAGTGGACGGGGACATGTATGAATTGGGTAGAATTTTCCATCGAAACAATGTCAATATTGAACCGGTTGTCAGAAAATTGGCCACAAAGCGTAAATCCAGACTTGTTAAATTGATTAGAAAACAATGCATTGATGATGACGATGGTGGTGATGAATGCTGTTCAATGTTGTCAGTATCGATGGGCAGCAATTGAAATATAGCCATTAATATGGACCCAAAGATGAGATTCAAATCGATAGCCATAACAAATAAAACGTGCAAATGATTGTGAAATGTTTGCCAATTTAATCGATTGATTGGTGTCCAGAATAAATCAAGCGCTATGCTTATGTTCAACAATATGAATCCGGCCACCAAACATTCCAACGGTGCTGATTGAGTGTAGGGTGGAGAGAAATGAAAACAATGAAAACAAATTAAAACCAAAAAAAGAAAAAATTACCTTCTGATGAACGATCATCCTCATCATCATCATCATCATCACTTGTATCACAGAATTCTTGGCTATGATTCTTGCCATCATCATCGTTATTATTATTTCGTCTTACTATTGATGCGGTATCGATAAGCTCGTCATCCAAGGCTGGTTGCCATTCCTTGTTATTGTTTATGATTGTTGTTGTTGTTGTTGTTGTAGAAAATTCTTGGAACCATGGTCGTAAAATGATAATCACGATGGATAATATTGAATTGATCAAGATGAATAATAATAAATACAATGACTGTTTAGCAAGGAAAAACATTATTTCTCAATCGATCGACACAGAATTGAATCAAAAAGTGATGTTGTCGCTAATCATCAATAATGATGATGATGATTTTTTTTTTTTTTTTGGTTCGAAGGCAAAAACAAATCGAAACTGGTTATGATAAAGGCAAAAAAAACAAATTATTAAGCAAAATGATTAAAACATGTACGTCTTGAATTGTGCAAAGGAAGAATTACAAGTCTTTGAATTGATGTTTGCAACCTTGAATTACAACACACACACACATATCAAACGAACATTAACATCAAATGGAACATGTTGTTGTTTTTTTATTCATTCATTGATTAGCAATTTGAATGATATAACAACAACAACGACAACAACAAAAACAACAACAACATTGAATTTGATAAAAATAAACAAAGCTCAAACATTTACGTGTTGAACATTGCAAGGATGCGAGCGTCATCTATCGAATAGAATGATGATGAGTATCACGTTTATCAAATGAAGAAATGTGAATTTTTTCAAACGAGCATTTAGTATTCTGGCTTTCTTTCGTTGTTGCTGCAATACAGATTAATAAAAGACATTGCGGTAGATGCTAGAATGGATGATCATAGAAAAAAGATTGAATTGAATTATTAAAAAATTTGATACTATACCTAACAGTCGTCGATAATAATAATTGTATTTGTAATCATTATTTATGGTCAGAAATATTATCGATTGGTCATGATGAAGTATTAGATGTATCAACGGTATCGCCATCATTATCAATAGCAAGGTTTCGGTTATTTGAATGAATGGTAAGGAATCAATCAGCTGCACAAATATTAGTTTGGTTATTCGCATTATTGATTTGTGTAAAATTCAATAGGATGATGACTCAATAGGTGGATAGATGGCATTAGTGGGGAAAAGGATGCGTTTGTTGTGAACATCTCTGTTAGTTGTTTCTCGATGGGAAAAGGATGCGTCGTTCGTGCATGCATTGACATTGAATGTGATTGTAGAAATTATATGAATATTTTTAAAATATAATTTTATTTTTTATTAAATCAAAATTGAATTATAATCACATCATAAAAAAACAATCATCAAAATCACCAAACATAAACATCAATCACCACACACATATAAAACTCGAAACCACACCACCTCGGTCGCCATTCATATAAGACGTTACTTGGCAGTGATGAGTAAATTATGACTCATTCGTGTGCGATGGTTTGATCAAATGAAAAGCACGTTTTTTTATTTCGGTTATTTTATTGCCTGTTATCTGTAATTAATCGATTGCAATAATTGTAATGTATTGTTGTTCAGTGTAATTTTGTTGTTTATTTGATACAATAAGAATCACAATTGGTATAATGAAAATAGTTTTAGTTTATTAAAGATGAAGAATGATAATAATATAATTAAGACAATTCACAAGTATAAACAAAGAAAGAGAGAGAGAGAGATGAGATCACACAAAAAGCAAGCCAAGAACCACAGATTGAGTCGAGCCAGTTCTTTTATATCAGCCACACAGGCGCACAGCAATTAATGTCGATGATATTTGTCGCCAAAAATTTAAACTTTGTCGTTTTCAGTGACAAGTCGTTTTGCCTTGATGAAAACGATATCGTCTTCTGAATCACCTTTAACGATAGCACGGACAATGTTTCTGTCCAACGGCCATGATTCAGCAGCTATTTTAAATGAAAAAATTAGATCAATAACTTAAACAATCAAGCACATAAATTTCAATGATCTTACAAGTTTGATTCACTGAAATTCTTTTGGCTTGATGAAGCCAAGACAGAGAATACGCGACATCTTTGAAATTTCCAATGAATTTTGAAGGTTAGGTTATCATACTCATACATGCACACAAAATGAAAATCACTATCAAAATTCGAAAAATTCCAATTCGATTTGACACATCATTGAAATAAACAAAAGTCATTTATTTGAATAATAGAAATCAAAACCACAACCACAATCGACATGGAAATAGAATTCGAAACCAAAATGCAAGTCAACTGGCTGCGCACGCTCCTGCCTATTGCCACCTCTTCCTACTTCGACCGAGAATGGCGGTAAGAGAAACAGCATGTTTCCATGCCATGTGGTGAATAAAATTGTACTTTGAATATTTCTTTCCGTGATTCTTTATTTTATGATTGATAAAAATTCGTTGTTTAAAAATAATCCTGCGTTTATTTTATATCAGCGTACATCCTCTCGGTACCCAACGTCTATTTAAATTATTAAAAATCAATAAACTAA